TAATCCTGGCCTAAACTTGTCTTTTTCTTTCTCATGCATATTTTTCACGCATATTTTTATACCATAACTATATATGTAGGTAGTCATAAATAATATATAGCATTGCTTGGAATTTTCTACTTTACACACATATCAACTATGTGATTATACCCTATCTAGGTTTGCTTTTTAACCATTGTTTTCTCTTCCAAACTCCCCCTACCACGAATTCCTTCTTCCTCAACTTCTCCATAATTATATATACAAGCAATGCATATACAAAGTCTGTAATAAGTCTAAGGATTTTTTCCTTAGATATTGATTCTTTTATTTATATGGAATAGATTCTAAGCAGGTTATGTATTTTATTTTTATCTTAAAAGATGTCTATGAAAAATGGATGCATATCCTTTTCTGCATATCCTCACTTTCAAAATTATGTTTTTCCAGTCTGAGAAGTGTATTTATATATACCATTATTTTTTATTTCATTTCCCTCATCATTGCTACTGATGTGGAGAATCCTTTTATACCATATCTTCTGTGAATGGCCCTTCTATATCTTTTGTCCATTTTTCAAATTGAATTTTGTTGTCTTACCAATTTTGAAAGAATTCTTATATAATAATATTGATGGGGTTCAGGACACACTACATCAAAATATGGCACCTTGGCATATTGAATATATTAAACTGAAGAAATTTGAGAAACATCACATACAGGAAGAATTTTTTTACCTTTCCCTGAAATAGGTCAACTACCATGTGAGAGATGCCCTCCCTGTACCCAGAGGAAAGAAGCCTCCTTATCTCTGAAGATGAAGGAATCGAAAGAAATCTGAATTAATATGGCTTGCTATATTTCCCTCAGTGTACTATACACTTAACACATACCTTTTGTCCTGCATATTTTTCCATAACTTTCCACCCTTCATCAAACCTAATAATATAAATGCTGAAGTTTAAACATGTCTTGCAGTCTTCATTTACTTATGAAGGCTCTCCTATCATGTGAAACTCATTAAACATCTTAAAATGCTATTCTCATCTTAATCTGTCTTTTGATGCAGAGAACAGGAAAACTATATTTTTCCTCCTCTACATTATCTATCCCCTAAATCAAGCATGTCAAACTCAAAGGCTAACATGGGCCAAATAAATAAGGTTTAAGTTTATGTGGGCCGCAAAAACACAAAAGCTTCCATTTTCATAGAAACATAGGTTTATTTTGATAGAGACATGCTGAATACAAAGGGCTGAAATAAATGAGTCATCGTTAACATAAAACAATAGAACATTTTAATAAAAATTAATATCTTTTCTTCAACATTAACTTATCAGACACTGAATAACTGCACAAATTAATAAGCGTAACGCAAATAAACCTATTTTTCTTGTTCTCCGAAAGTGAAATAGTTCCTGTTGCGCACACCAAACGTGTCAGTACAAGACTAATGACGTGGCAATCGGCTGCTAAAATATTCACTGCTAGTATTAGTGGTGCGCCTGCACGTAAGGCGCGTAAGGGAAATAAATGCAACACGATTATAATAATCAGTCATTAGCGAACGTTGTAGCTCGTTCTTAATAATTATGTATAACAGGATACTGTAAAAGTTAAGTTACGAAATTTTTATTAAAAACGTTTCTTACATACCATTGTATTGTCTGGGCCACAAAAATATTCACATGTGGCCCGTGGGCCACGAGTTTGACATGCTTGCCCTAAATGACAAATATTTCTTTTCCAAATGAACTGATATTTTGCAATATTACTTTTGCCATATATTTTTTAAAATGTTATATAGTTAGATATTTTATTTACTTTTACATATTTATAATTTCTAATGTTGATTTAAAGTTTCTTACTCTCAGATTGTGTATACAATATCATCAATTTTCTTTGGGGCTTTTATTTTCATTTTTTCATATATTTTGACTCTTTGAAAATTATCATTTGACTTTTTTCATTTACAACTGACTTTTTAAAATATATTTTATTGATTTCAGAGAGGAAGGGAGAGGGAGAGATAGAAACATCAATGATGAGAGAATCATTGATTGGCTGCCTCCTGCACACCCCCTACTGGGGATCAAGCCCGCAACGCAACCTGGGCATGTGCCCTTGACCGGAATCGAAACTGGGACCCTTCAGTCCACAAGCTGACGCTCTATCCACTGAGCCAAACCAGCATGGGCTACAACTGACTTTTAATATTATCTTATATTATTTCAGGTGTACAACAAGTGGTTAGAAAATTATATAATTTACAAAGTGATCCCCCCAGTAATTCAAGTACCCATCTGACACAACACACAGTTATTACAATATTTGACTATATTCCCCATGCTGTACTTTACATTAGTAACTTACTTGGATCAACTGGACTAAGGAATCATTGCCTTTAGAAACAGTAAAATATAAGAAAATTCTATTTATCTATGATAGTGAAATACAATGGAGAGCTACACTCATTCTACAAATGTTAATGTCATAATCAAGAGGACTCCTAAGATATTTCACAAACATGAATGCCCTACCATAAGATAGTCTTAAAGAAGGTGCATCTAAGTTACACTGAAGAATGACAGTGAAAGATTAAAAAAAAAAAAAAGTACCATGCCATTAAGTCACTTCCTCATCTGTTTCTTAGAAGAAAATAACCCGGGATTAAAATAATCAGATGTGATCTTGCAAACAAAAAATGTATATATTTTACATATTAATTGGGAGAATAAATCACACTAATAGATTTGTAAAGTGTTTGAGACCTGAAAGAGGTTGAAAAAGATTATTCTAAAATAGTAATCCAATTTTTATCCTTAGTCTGTGATTAAGCTTTTCCATGCTCATACTTACCAGTATGCTTTCATCAGAGAACTTTTCATAGTTAAGAGCTACAACTACTAAAAACTCTAGTTTACATCAAGTCAAAACTTACCTTTGATATCCTCATCAATTTTTTCTTCCTTACCCCTTCCCTTCCCTTCCCTTCCCTCTCCTTTCTCCTCCTTTCTCCTTTCTCCTCTTTCCTCCTTTCTCTTTCCTCCTTTCTCTTTTCTCCTTTCTCTTTTCTCTTTTTCTTTCTTTCTTTCTTTCTTTCTTTCTTTCTTTCTTTCTTTCTTTCTTTTTTTCTTTCTTTCTTTTTCTTTCTTTCTTTCTTTCTTTCTTTCTTTCTTTCTTTCTTTCTTTCTTTCTTTCTTCTTTCTTTCTTTCTTTCTTTCTTTCTTCTTTCTTTCTTTCTTTCTTTCTTTCTTTCTTTCTTTCTTTCTTCTTTCTTTCTTTCTTTCTTTCTTTCTTTCTTTCTTTCTTTCTTTCCTTCCTTCCTTCCTTCCTTCCTTCCTCCCTCCCTCCCTCCCTCCTTCCCTCCCTCCCTCCCTCCCTCCCTCCCTTCCTTCCTT